TATTAAGAACTACAGCAGGTCAATGAGAAAATGTGCAAGAACTCAACAGAAAAATGTATAGAAATATATGAACAAATTATACACAAGAAAATAAATTTCTAACTCCATTAGTAATTATGAAAATGAAACACTGAAAAATGTTGACTACTACTGTAGATCTATAAGATTAGTCTCCCTGCTTGTCCCCCAAAATCTGATGATATCAAATGTTAGTGAGAATGTGAGAAAGGTACTCTCTTATATTAGTGGTAGGAGTTTAAATTGGTATACTTATATAGTGAGAAATTTGACAATATTTAGTACACATGAATATGTGCATACCCTAGGATGCAACAAATCCTCTGCTATGTAAGATGTTTATTGCAGCATTGTTTTTAATAGCTAAAAACTGGGAAATAGCCCTAACTATTCATAAAATGAGGTACAGGTATACAATGGAATATAACACGACTATTTCAGAAAAATTAGTTGTAAATGAGCCTCTGCCATAACACTAGATGTGCATTCCTAAACATCTGACATTCTGAACACAGGCACACTAAAATACCACTGATTATGTGAAAATATCTAAACCAAATACTAAAAATACTAGTAATTGTGTAAAAAGTTGGGTTTGGAAAAGACCACTCTAAACCTATGCAATTTTAGAACCTGAACACTAAAAATGAGAGTAAGTAAATAACAGTAATTGGAACCTCAGAAGATAACTTAGGACTGTCCAAGCAGTTATGACAATGGATTCCTAGGGAAATACTAAAAATGCATAAAAATAATAAGGAATGTTGACTTGTGAATGCTAAAACAGTGCATTCACTGAAGTGGAGGTGAGCACCAGAAGTTAAGGGCCCTACAATGCTAAGACTGTAACATTAAAGAGAAAAAAAAGAACACTAAGCAGACAAGCTGAGAGCCTACCCTTTCCCTTTCTTGCTAAAATTATAATTATACACTCTTTATCACATTTCTCCTTACCTAGAAAATAAAGTAACACAACTTTCCCACTGACCTGACATCATTCCTGAATTTATCAATCACTTGTGAGGTAATTAGTTTCAGAATACAGGTGGTTGGAAAAGAAAAATAAGGGGGTAATAAATAAATTTTATCTGTAATGTGTGTGTATATACAGATATGTGTGTATATATATATATATGTGTGTGTATACACACACATACACACACACACATATATATATGTATATACACACATTTTTTTTTTTTTTTTACTAACAACAGAAACAGAAATGTCTGACAGTTTTGGAGGCTAGAAGTACAAGATCAGAGTGGCAGCACTGTCAGGTTCTGGCTAAGTGCTGACTTCTTGCTGTGCCCTCACATGGTGAAAGAGGCGTTCTATATTCTTCATAAATTATTTCTTAGATCATGTAAAGATGAACTAACATTGCAAAGGGACACTAAAATGGACATGTTTGTTTTTCACAAAACAAATTTAAAGTGTTGTATAAAACGCTGCAAAAATGATTTGACCTTTCTATCCACCTTCCAGCCCAATTTGAGTATCAAGGGTCTTCAGTATAGATATCTGAAACAATAACAGGGATGTGAGTTTTCCATAGGAAGCCTAATTCTACCATTCGCTCCATAATCTCACACTTAGAAAATAGCAAATGTACCTTAATGTCCCACTGAGAAGCTCATTTTCAAGTAGACAATGATTAAAAATTACAACTTTCCCTTGAATCTTCTTTCATACATCTGACGTGCTAAAGCCAATTATTACTGTCAACTAAACTACTGACTTTATACAGATTTCATTAGTTTTTCTACTAATATCCTTTTTCTGTTCCAGAATCCAGTCTAGGACACCACAATGCATTTGGTCATCATGTCTTCTTAATCTCTTCTGGTCAACATCAGTTTCTTAGTCTTTCCTTATTTTTCATGATGATGTTATTCTTTATCACTTGTTTCAGGTAGTATTTGCCAGGTTTCTTCATTGTGAAGTTACTATTTTTTTCTTCCATCTATTTTTTAGTTCAGCCCATACCTGAGGGATGCTTCTGAAGGGGGCAGGAGGTTAGGAGGGTATGGGGAGAAGATTCATCCCTTCTCCCCTATTTATGTATTTATTCAAACATTTATTTATATCAGCATGGACTCGTTTATATTTTTGTTCTACTTTGGGTAATTAATAATCAAATACTAGATTATTTTGTTGCTCATATTGTTCCTGCTCTAGACACTGGGAGCTCTTTCAGATTGGCTCCTGTGTTGCTTTGACATGGACCCATCATTTTTTTTCAAGTGCTTCCTTACTTTCTGGCACTACTAGATGCTCTAGTGTCATCTTGTATTTTCCTTGATACATCCATAAAATCAGCCATTTCTCCAAGGACTCCTGCTTGCTTTTACTTCAGAATAATATTTAGAAATCAAGATCTGGGCACTGTGTCTACTAGCTTCTAGAGCAGTGATGGCGAACCTATGACACGCGTGTCAGGTGACACGCGAACTCATTTTTTTGGTTGATTTTTTCTTTGTTAAATGGCATTTAAATATATAAAATAAATATCAAAAATATACATCTTTGTTTTACTATGGTGGCAAATATCAAAATATTTCTATATGTGACACGGCACCAGAGTTAAGTTAGGGTTTTTCAAAATGCTGACACGCGAGCTCAAAAGGTTCACCATCACTGTTCTAGACCCTCTCGGCAGAGAAAGCTGTATGTGTGCTAACTCAAGTATAAGCACACACATATGTAATTATTTCTGTATGTATCTATACACATTTTAAACTAAACATGAGTTCATACTGATGTCTCCAACTCTAATTCTGTGGTTAGTTTTTTGTTGTTGTTAATCTTCACCCAAGGATATTTTTCCCCTTGATTTTTCTTTTTTTGTCCCATTGATTTTGAGAGAGGGAAGGAGGGAAGAAGGGAAACATCGATGTGAAAGAGACACATCAACTGGTTGCCTCCCCCAAGCACCCTCTAGGGCTATATAAAAATATATATATTTTATTGTTTTTAATCAGTGTGCTGTTATTTCAATATTCACTGATCCTTGAACAACATGCATTTGAACTGTGCAGGTCCATTTAGACACAATTTTTTTTCAATAAATACTCTAATGTATTTTCTCTTATGATTTTCATAATATTTTCTTTTTTCTAGCTTAATCTGTTATAAGAAAACAGTATATAATATACGTAACATACAGAATATGGTTAATTGACTATTCATGTTATCAGTGGGAAATCAAGTTATATATGAAGTTTTGACTATGAGGGGGGAGAAAGGGACGGAGGGAGGCAGGTGAGGGGTCAGCACCCCTAACCCTTGCATTATTTAATAGTCAACTGCCCTTGCTCTGAAATAATAAAAGCCATTTTCTGTTAAAGAGAGAGAGAGATAGAGAGAGAGGGAGAGAGAGACACACCAATGTAATGGCTTACTATGTATATAATATAAATATACCAGTTTAAAGATAAGAAAATAGAGAAATTATGTGACATGCCCTACATCACACTACCAGCAAAGAGCTAAACTAGAATTTAACTGTTTAAATCCAATTATTCTACTCCAGTTTCCATGGTATCTGTATCACACTCCATTTTAGGTTATAAAAAAGAAGTCAATTTATAAAATAAAAACAAAAGTGATCTTCTTGTTTCAAGAGATAAAATGTAGTTAGTTCACCTTCTAAAATCAATTAACAGAATAAAGTATACATTCATACTTAAGAGGCAAAAACACAACTAAAATAAACACAAATTTATTTAGGGAATGAGTATTTACTTAACAACTACAAACAAGCTGGACAAATAGGACACACATTCTAGCTTTCCCAGAAGAACTCATAATCTAATGATGCCAGGGATGTGGCAGACTGTCAAACTACAGTGGGAAGCCTGGGGAGGGTTTGGGGGCGGGTTAAGAGATCAACCGAAGGACTTACACGCATGCATATAAGAATAACCAATGGACACAAGACACTGGGGGATAGGGGAGGCCGGGGGAATGTCAAGGGGGGGGGGGGGGGAAGGAGACATATGCAATACTCTTTGTAATACTTCAAGAAATAAAAGTTATTTTAAAAAAAGAAAACTAATCTAGAAAACAAGACAATTTAAGTGAAATGAAAATATACAAATATTCTTCATTTTCCTTTTCTTATAACTTTATCAGTTTATAATTTAGATGTTATTGTTTACTGGCAGAGGTAACTAGACTACTAAAAAGAAATGTTTGGTTATGATTGAAGTATAACTGTTACTTTGCTAGATTAACTGTTGCAATACTGAAAAGCAACAAGATACAACAAGACTTAAATAGAGAGGCAACAATCCTGGATTTCAGTTCAGATTCTATGTCATATTAGCTATCCAACATTGGGAAAACCATTTAGCCTCTCAGTCTATATATCGCCATATTTAAAATGGATATATAGGATACACACACACACACACACATACATACATATCCCACTTCTTTCACAAGACTTTTGAAGGCTCAAGTAAGAATTTCACGGTAAAACTTCTTTGTAAATTATGAAGTGCTATCCAAATGCAAACTACTACGACCGTTCAACCGGTCAACAGATCGACCAGTCACTATGATGCGCACTGATCACCAGGGGGTAGACGCTCAACACAGGAGCTGCCCCCTGGTGGTCAGTGCGCTCCCACAGTGGGAGCACTGCTCAGGGAGCTTACTGAGCAGCGGTGGCAGGCACAGAGGAGCCAAGATGAGCGGGAGCGGCGCGGCAACTGGTCTAGGCTCCAGCTCCTCCCGGGCCGCCTGCCGCTTAGCACACTACTACATCCATCAGTGGGATGTTGAACTGCTGAGAATCAGGCTGGAACCAGCAGTCCGACATCCCCCATGGGGTCCCAGATTGCAAAGAGGACGCAGGCCAGGCTGAGGGACCCCACCGGTGCACAAATCCACGCACCAGGCCTCTAGTTAAGATATAATGCTAAAGATTAAATCCTATAAAGCAATAGCTAAATGTTTTAACTGAAAATACCTACCTTAACAAAATTATCAGGAAACATTCCTCTTCTCCCATTTAGTTCTCCTTCTAGCCATCCTTCCTCCTGTAGTTTTTTCACATTCCTGATGATTTCCCCAACTCGAATAGTTAATTCATCATCATGCACAGCATCATAGTCATACTCCACAATATAGTCAACTAAAAAAAGAAACAATAAATTAATGTCTAAAACTTATTTATATAACTTTCAAGTTTTATTATTTACATAATCATCCATTGATTATCTTAGCTAGATCTCTGGATAATTTGCTGAAGATTCCACATCAGATGGCTTCTTTCTTTAAACCTCATGAACCTCTGCTAGCATCAAACTTTTCTTCTGCAGTCTCCTCTCCTCTCAGTCTTCAGATCCTGGTCAACACACCCACTGAGTCACACTGGCCGGGCTCAGTTTACTTTTAAAGTGTGAAGAAAGCAATCCAAATTGTGCACTGTTGGTAAGAATATAAATTGGTACAGCCACTATGGAAAACAGTATAGAGTTCCTCAAAAATTAAATACAGAACTACCTATCATATGATTGAACAAATCCACTTTTGGGAATTTATCCAAAGACAAAAAACTAACTTTTAAAAGATATATGCACAACCATGTTCAATGCAGCATTATTTACAATAGCTAAGATATGAAAACAACCCAACCTTCCATTGTTGAATAAATGGATTTTTTTAAAGAAAGTGATATATATACACAACAGAATACTATTCAGCCATAAATAGAAGGTTATATTGCTATCTGCATCAACATGGATGGAACTTGAGGCCATTATGCTAAGTGAAATAAGTCAGACAGAGAAAGACAAATACCCAAATACCATAAGATCTCACATGTGAAATCTTAAAAAATAAATAAAAACTAATTTTTAAAAAATAGCTCATAGATGGAGAAAAGATTGGTGGTTGCTGGGGGAAAAGGGAATGGATGAAGGTCAAAAGGTACAAATTTCCAATAATTAAATAATATACAGCATGGTGACTATAGTTAGTAATACTGTACTGCATATTTGAAAGATGCTAAGAGAGTAAAACTTAAAAATTCTCATTACAAGAAAAAATTTTGTAACTATGTATATAGGTAACAAATGCTTACCTAGACTTACTGTGGTGGTGATTTTGCAATATATACAAATATTGAATCATGTACAACTGAAAGTAGTATGTTATATGACATATAACATAATAATAGGAAGAAAATTAAAATACAGAAAGATTAAAATAACAGCAGCAGTACAAAAATCAGGAGAAAAAGTATTCTAAGACGGCCCTGGCCGATGTGGCTCTGTTGGTTGGAACATCATCCTGTGTACCAAAAGGTTGCAGTTCCCAGTAGGGGTGCATACAGAAGACAACTGAGTGATGTTTCTCACTCACATCAATGTCTCTTTCTCTCTCTCCCTTCCTAAGTCAAATATTTTTTTTAAAAAAATACGTGACTCAGTTTTAGTTCCAACATGTAAAAATCTTGGAAGTTGTCACTCTCATCCTTCTCATCCTTACAAGAAAAAAGCTAAACAAACTGAAAATCAATGACTTTCTTTGAACCCATCAGAGAAATGAGGACACAGAGCAAACCACCACTTCAAGATATGGAAAGACAGACATACTCAGAGAGTCACAGCCATCATCTACTAGATCACATCCAGTAGAACCACTAGAGCCATAAACTGGGAGGAACACTGTTACCAGTCTCCCAAAGCTGTTTTAACAAACTGACACAAACTAGGTGACTTAAAATACAACACTGTTCTCTCAGTTATAGCTCTGGAGGCCAGAGCACAAAATCAGGGTATCCAGCCGGGCTGGAACTTTCTTAAAACTCCATGGAAAAATTGCTCCATACTTCTATCTTGGCTTCTGGGAGCTGCCAGCAATCTCTGGAATTCCTTGGCTTGCCTAATTCCAATCTCTGCCTCCATCTGCACATGGCCTTCCCCTTATATATATGTCTCAGATCGCCCTCTCCTTAGTCTTAATAAGGGCACCAGTCTTTGGATTAATGGCCAATCCTAAACCTAGGTGATATCATGTTCAGATCATTAGTTACATCTTCAAAGGTTCTACTCTCAAATAATGTTGCATTCATACTTACCAAGAATTAGAACTTGAACATTACTGTTTGGGGGACAAAAAGTTAATCCATCACAAATACTTTCATGGTAATTTCAATGAATTCCTGGAGGCTGAGTGTGGAATATCATAAGAGTGGGAAACTTCTGGGGACTGTAGTCTTAGGAGAACCCCATACTTTTGTGGGCTTTACTTCCAGGAATCCCATCCTGTTCTCACCCTGAAGAGCCCATAGATATGTCTTTGTAGTTCTGGCAAAGGGGAAGGAAAAAGTAATCACTGTGAAATAACCAAGAACCAGAGCATTCTCCATAACAAAGACCTACACTCCAAGGAAATGACCTAATCAGGGACTTATCCCACCTGTGGAAAGGGCATTTCTCAGATTCCAGTCCCTTCTCTTCTGTGTTGGGGGTGGAGGGAAAGACAACAACTAAGAAAGGCTTATAATGGTCACAGTCCCAGGACAGAGATCCACTAAGTTTAAGATTTAATTCTAAGATTATAGGATGCTTCCTTTCTCCTACACCTTACCACCACACCAATGGAGCTCCAGGATAAGAGTTAATTAATGCTGAAAGAGCTGCACAATGCAAATACTATCTAGAAAGAGTTCTTAGGGAAACCCAAATATATTAAGAAAGACAGTAACAAGGACACTAAAAGAATCTGAAGCCTCTGGCACTTACAGCTAGAGCAAATATTAAACAAAGTACAATCCCTAGCTAGATTAATGTAAACCCTTACACTAAAGACCTATTTACCTCAGCTCCTATTGCCTAATACATCATGCCCAACTGTCAACAACAACAAAAAATTACATCATGCTTTTATTTATTTTTTATTGAATTCAGAGGAAGGGAGAGGGGGAGAGAGAGAGATAGAAACATCAATGATGAGAGAGAATCATTGTTTGGCTGCCTCCTGCATGCCCCACACTGGGGATCGAACCCACAACCTGGGCATGTGACCTGACGAGGATCGAACCGTGACCTCCTGGTTCAGAGGTAGACACTCAACCACTGAGCCATACTGGTTGTGCCACATCATGCTTTAAAAGGCAAGAAAAGACACAAATGCAAAGCAAGCATCAGAGCTGGACTCAAATATTTTTTGGAATGAGACAGGGTATTTATTATTTTTTAAATATGTTTTTGTTGCTTTTAGAGAGAGGAAGGGAAAGAGAGAGAAAAAAAATCAATGAGAAACATCGATCAGCTGCCTCTTGTACACCCCCTCCTGGGGATCAAACCCCAAACCTGGGAATGTGTCCTAACCAGACATCAAACCAGCAGCCTCTTGGTGCAGAGGACGACACTCAACCAACTGAGCCACACCAGCCAGGGCCAGACGGGGAATCCTATCTAATAAAAGAGAAACATGGTAATTAGCCGTACAGCCGCTACCCTTCCCATTGGCTAATCAGGGCGAAATGCAAATTAACTGCCAGCCAAGATGGCGGCCGGCAGCCACGCAGCTAGAAGCGAACAGGGAGGCTTGCTTGCTTCAGTGACGGAGGACTCCAACGTTCCCCGCCTGCGCTGCCGGCCTCTCCGCTGCTCTCTAAGAAACACTGTAACAAATATAGAAGCTAAACAAAACCCCAGAAACCTGTTTTCAGTCAGCCGGGATCTCAGAGCTGGAGTCCCAACAAAGTTTCAAATACAGAAGGTAAACAAAGGCCAGAAACCTGCTTTCAGCAGTGGAGGTCTCAGAGCTAAAGCTGGCCCAGAATAAAAAAAAAAAAGAAAAGAAAAAAAGGAGCGGTTGGGAGCTTCAGTCACCCGCCAGCCTGAAAATGGCCCTCAGCCCCTCACCCAGACTGGCCAGGCACCCCAGTGGGGACCCCCACCCTGAGGGGGTGTGACCAAATGCAAATTTGCATACTGAAGGCAGGCGGCAGCGGGCAAGGCTGTCCGCAGTCCGGGACCCGGATCTGTGACCTGCTGGGTGGGGGGCAGTGCTTGAGGCTGTCCATGGTCCGGGACCCGGATCTGTGACCCTGCTGGGTGGGGCAGCAGCGCTTGAGGCTGTCTGTGGTCTGGGACCGGATCTGTGACCTGGCGGGCGGGGGGCAGCACTTGAGGCTGTCCGCGGTCTGGGACCGGATCTGTGACCTGGCGGGCAGAGGGCAGTGCTTGAGGCTGTCACGGTCTGGGACCTGGATGCGTGACCTGCAGGGCGGGGGGGGCACCGCGGGAGGCTGTCTGCAGTCCGGGACCCAGATCTGTGACCCTGCCGGGCAGGGGGCAGCACAGGAGGCTGTCTGCGGTCCCGGGACCCGGATCTGTGACCCTGCCGGGCGGGGGGCAGTGCTTGAGGCTGTCCACGGGACCAAGACACGGATCTGTGACCCTGCCGGGTGGGGGGCAGTGCTTAAGGCTGTCCACGGTCCCAGGACCCGGATCCGTGACACTTCACGGCGGGGAGGCAGCTCGCACAGGGGCGGATCGGCCGGGGTTGGGCAGGGCAGGACGCCTGGCTTCTGCCCAGCCCCAGTCACTCTGTGCAGGTGAGCAGCGCAGAGAGCCTCTGGACAGGGGAGGCAGGCCGGCGGAGGGTGGCCTGTACTCCCACATGGCGGTGGTGACAGCTGTGAGCGCGCCAAGCAGAGCCTGCAGGCTAAGCTGAAGTAGAGCCTGCAGGCCATCAGCACCCAGGAGTGGTTGCGCAAGATCCGCCTCCTGGCCCAGAAGGCGATGGATCGCAGGGACAGCCACTGTGGCGGGCCCGACTGACGTCCTCCTGGCTGTACCATGGGGGTTTGCAGATCTGCAAAGCCAGAGGCCTCCGGTGTGCACATCCCCCCCTGGCGTGCAAACATCCCCCAGCACACTGTCACCCTCCCACGCCTGCAACAGTTGCAAACCAAGGTGTGCACAAGTTCCCCTCTCCTCTCCACCACACTTCCATCAACCCAGCATGCCTAACACCCCCACAGGATGTGCACACATCCCCTCTGATGCGCTCATGTCCATTGGAGAGTGTCTGGGTGTTCTGGGTGCTGAAGGTGGGCGCCTGTGAGATGACAGTGAGAGGGCGGAGTGGTGATGCCCTGTTCCCACGGAGGCC